ACACACAGACAACCTCTCGTCAATATGCGTTTTCCGCATTGCATTGCTGCAAAAAACGCATAATTAGCCGGAAGACAACAATTGTAATTTTTCCTGAGAAGCTTTTTTTATCGTCCTCATGGAGTTTTGATTGCACTTGCACCACACCATATTTGCGGCGAAGAAGTGTTTTCTGGTACCAGACAAGCCGCAAAGTCGAATTTTACAGGGGTATCCTATATTTGTCTGGCCTAAATTTAAATTGGAGACTAAATTTGCCGCACATGACAAATACTCAGTTTTATTACAATCCCAAAAGCTAGTGTATTTTGTGGATTTCGTCATCCTATTTTGACATTCTGTTCATTACCCAATTTGTATTTCTTGACGAACGACCAGTCACCAAATAAGCTTACGACAATCATGCATACTGGAGATCAAGATTCCAAGCAGCCCCGCGATGCAACACTACCTACCCAGCCTAAGGGAGCTCTGCATGAAAGAAAAGGCCAAAGTATGCAAAACTCCAACGCAGTCAACATTCTGCAAAAAAATATTACTGCATCCGCTGCTTACTTCGCAATAATTTTGGTTTAATTAAACCGGTTGCACTACATCGAACAGCAATGAAATTCGGGCGCAGAATGTGACTATTACGGGAAGCAGGGAAACAGGATTCGAAAAAAAGGAAGACGTTGAAAATTCTTCCATTCTTCAGCAATAACACAGAACGCTCCGTAAACGCGGTACTGCGCAGGATGTCACCAGAACCAAATGCTGAACAAAATACACCGCAGATGGGTGACGGACGTCAATACGCCGGGTGGCATAAACAGTGATTTTATTGTCCAAAAGTACACGAGGTACCCACGACTACAAAACAAATTACATGAAGGCACCACACACGTCAAGCCCTTGCAGTACATACTGCGCTTTTAGCATATGCACTGTACAACTTTCTGTAAACAGCAACATTCAAAGAATCGTGAAAAAACAGCAACATTTAAGGAATAGACCTGTTTATCTCATCACTGACTTGGCCTGGCATATCTGAAACATCTTCAGCATGCCCTAAATCACGAACATATCGCTGGCGCAATATCATTTCGTCGAATTTCGATTGCTCATCATTTCTTTCCTCGTCACTAAGCACTCTTCTAAAAAGCCTTGTAGAAGCTACATAATTTGAATTAATGAGAGCACCTTTATGTGATACTCCAATCATAACAGCAACCACACGCCTCTGATTGCTCTGAAAGCAAGCGTATTCTCTTTATTGAACACACCAGCACGAATCTGCCATCAAAAGAGTCCTTGCTTTTTCCACGAAGAACTTTGAACCCACAAAAAGAGTTCTACTCAAGCTCACATGACCTAAAGGCTAACAACTTATCTCTTACTTTTAACTACAGGATTTTAATGCACTAACTTCTAAGAAAGCGCCATGAATCTTTGATGATTTTTCAAACTGAGAATGATACCAGCAATTCGATCATCAAAACCTCACCTGTTCGAAACGAGGCTGTACAATGAAAAGAAGAAGAATCCAATCATATAGATCGCCACTGCAGCA